GATTAATGACATATTAGCATGTAACCGTACGCAAGTTTTTTTTTCTCTCGTTCTTGATCCGATACATCTGCGTAGAATAGAAAAAAAAAAAAAACTTTACACATCGTTCGGCGAGCTCGAATCATCCCCTCGAAAATATTCGAACATCTCGACGCTTCACGAGGGAGTGATCAGAGGCGTTCTGCGGTCGGCGTGCCGTTGTATCCGCGTCTTGATTGGTCGCCGTGGTCGGCCATCCCGCACTAGCGTAGCGATACAGCGCACGGAGGCAGGTGCGCGCGCACAGCGGAACTACTTTCAGCGCGTTAAGCGAACAATAGGGATCCCAGAAGTGTTTCGGACGCGGTCGTGTTCATTTACGTCGTGCCGTATGCTTTTTTTTCCCGTAGCCGCACGAGCACGCCGTGCACACTGGGATCCGGTTGGTGACGTATCCGTTGGTGACGCGCGTCGCGTACGATGCGCCCGGTCGAGTGACGGCGCGCGATAATACCGAACTAATATTGAACAAGTGTGCATCGCGCCGGTGAGTGTCCGTCCATCCGTTCGTTCGCCCGTTCGTCCGTTCGTCCGTCTGTCTGTTCGTCCGTTCGTTTCCCGAGTGTGTGCACCCGTGCCCCTTTCCGATGAGTGTGTGTCTACCCGACGTGTGTGAATAAAAAAAAAAATAGAAATTGTAATATTCACGGCGCCATGTCGCTGCCAAGGCGAAGATTGGATTACGCGCTCACGGTTGGACCGTTGTTGCTCGTGCTGCTGGCGTTCACCTACGTGCCCGCGGTATCCGGTGAGTCAAAAAAAAAGTCTTGCCATATTCAAGCGTCCTGTGGTCGGAACCGCCGCCACATGTCGCTGGAGCCCGCTGCTAGGCAACAGACTCGCGGCGCGACGCCGAGCGCCGGCGCGTTGGACGCGTCCGTCGTTGTCGCAGGCGCAAAACGTCCACGGCGCCTGTGAACTGTGTGCATGCCGTTTCGAACGCGTCTCCTCGCTCCGTCGACGTGATCTCGTCGTCCCCCTGAGAGATCGCCCGGTCGCTTCGTTTCTCTCGACGTCCGGCATTACTGTCGTGCTCGTCTTGATTCACTTACTATCTGTCTTGAAAATATCGACCGCCACCGTCATTGCCGCTGTGATCGCGTACGATCAGGCTCAATTTCATGAGCTCTGGCGAGCAATCACCATTCCTCGAGACGACGATCAAAAAATTTCATCTTCTTTTCTCTCTTTTTCTTATCAGATCGGATTCTTATCGGATCAGAGGAGGGCATTTGAGACGCCCTCGCTCTCGCCGATCTCGGAGTCTCGCGTTTGGAAAGCTGACAGATTGACACTGTCGGACTGACAGTAGAGACGAAGTGCGCGAAACCGTTTTGGAACGACGCTCCAAACGGACGCACGTGATGGCGTGTTTAACAACGCAGCGGCGCTCATTCGCTTCGTGGCTATCGAGACACGGGGCCCGCGCGTCCTCGTCTAAGTTGGTAATCCCTGAGGGACAGGTGCCCAGCCCCAGCTTTCCAGGAAGCGAGCCATCCCTTCTTCTGTGTGCGTTAACACGCTCCGACTCGACATTTCGCTGCTCCCTCTCGATATTTTGCGAGTGCGCGCACGGAACGGGGACCGTGTGGCCCCCTTCCGCGGGGACCGTATCCTGTTTTGACCCTCGTGCGATTGAAATGCGTTCGATGTACACGTTTGTGACCTGGGGTTGTCGAAAAATTGTATAAGAAACCCAAAGAAATAACGTTATTATAACTTGATCGTTTTTTATTTTATTATAACAGTTCATTATTACAATAAACATTATGCAATAAACTGCATAATAATTTGTCATAATTTTATATAATAAATTGTCGAATGCTGAAACTAAATGATAAAAGCATAATCGTTGATTATACTTCTAATCTTTATATTTATTTCTAAATATTCCCGAAAATAGAATTTGTGAAAAATATCATTTATAAAACATTAATATTATCGATATTCGATTTTTCGATGGCAACTTTGACTCAAATGTAATGCTGTTGTTAATTGTCTCATTTGAAATATTTCTGTTTCTTTCCATTACGAAATGGAGCTTAATTTTTTTAAAAGCGAATAATTTAAAACTTTAAAGTGTGTTCATTACGAATTCGGTTAATTACAAGTTAACAAAATACATATTTTCATACTGATAACACATTTCGCAAAAAAATATGTTGGATAGATAATGATCGACGCGCTGTTGAATGGTCGAACTAACTCGTGAGAATTTCGCTTTTTACATTCGAAATCAAACTTTTACTGTGTGCAGTAATTCGCGACAGAATATTGCGATGATTTGGCAGAAACGGAAACGACACTTGTGAGAACGTGACCTTTTATTGTCGACGTAAAGGAACTTGTTATTATAAGTTATTATAACCAACCTTATTAAATCAACGTAAAATTAATTGATGAATCGAGATAATGAGATGAATACCGATCACAAAAGACTTAACAAAAGCGAGTCATTTATAAATTTTTAAGGCAATTTTAAATATTTTAAATTTATTTTAAATATTTAAAATATTTCTATATATTTGTCAATGCATGTAGGGAATAATCTGAAGAAAGCTTGTAATTTTCAATTCTATATTGATCGTGTTTAAAAGAATCGATAAATAAAATGATTTCTTGATGAAGTTCAATCACTATACATCTTCAAAAATTGAATGAATAATATTCGTGTATTATAATTCGAATATATGATAGTTTTCTCTGCCTGAACATCCGCAATGAGAACTAATGAGAACAATTGTTTACCTTTGCTAGGTAAATTTCCATCTTGACTTTTCGCCAGAACATAAATCGCGTGACGTAATACTTGCATCGATGCAATGAGTATTGCCGTATATATCGTTGTAAAATGGTGAGTAAGGAAAGTTAGAGTAAAGTCCAATGCGAAAGGAGAGAATAATTAAGATCCATTCATATTGTTATTGTTTCCGCATTGTCTCATAATCAAATTATAACGATAGCACTTTGATAGAATCATTTACTTCCTAATGAGAATTATTTTTAATCTATTTTTTATTTAATTTATTTAATGTAAAAATTCATAATACGCGATGAGATATAAAGTAGAAGTTAGATTTATTTTAGATACGAGCACTTCGTGTGATTGATTTTAAATGAAGAATTTATAAAATATATAAATAAATGTTACGTTGATAAAAAATTTCAAACTAAATTACTTTTTCTCGTATAATTTGTAATCATTAAAAAATTTCTTTAATTTTATTCACATTTAATTGCCTTGTATTTTAAATTTGTACTTCTCTAGGCTCTAGAAATTAAGCAACGCTGTGTTCACAAAGCGGACGCGAGAATATTCCGCGACCTGCTCGATAGTCGTTCCGTGGAACCGGGCGAAGATCTGGCGTCCAAGGCTCGTTCACTATATTATCTCGCGATACTCTGGCGATGGCGGCGGTGCACACCAGACGTTTGCCGCTCTTATGTTCTCAGGCTTTCTCTTCTCTCTCTCCTTAGAAACTGATCCGCCCGGACTTAACGTGCTTTCACACGAGACACGCCGCGTTCGCCGCCACGCGAGACAGACGCGGTGCGGGGGTTACATTTCGCGAATATTAAAGACACTGTCGCCGAATGCCGTCGACTCGGAAAGGATTGGATCCGCGCGTTGAAACCGCGCGTAAGGATATCGATCGCGTCGTTTTGTGCGAAAGTTGTAGGATGACTTTTAAGCCGACTTCCATTTTCCCAGAATATCATTTACTTGCAAATGATAATGCAACGGCGAAATTCGCTGCCTAGAGAAGAAGTTCTCTTCGAGAAATTTCTAGAATAAATACCTGTCTGTCAAATATTATTTTTATGTATATAGAATATGTATCCACAATCTGCAAAATACATTTGTTTTTGCATACATAATCAAATCAAATATCTTCTATCATAAAATCGGAAAATATTCTTTTCAATCATAGATTGGTGCTCGCGATATAATTCTGGTTTCTTAAAAAGATAAATCGATCTCGAAATTCATTCATGTTGTGATGAATTTCGAAATTATTTTCCTTTTAAGAAACCAAAATTATGTTTGCAATTAAAAAAGAATAATTTCCGGTTTCGCGATGGAGGAGGATATTTGATTTTAGCTTCGCGCGCGTTAATTGAAAACTTGATGAATTAAAGGCGACGTGTATTTAGCATAACTTGTAGCGCGTCGCTTTACTTGATTTCGTATTCTTCGAGCGCCAGGCGCGAGTTTCAATTAAAATCTCTAATACGCTCGGCGTATTACTCCTCCTTTTTGCGCGTGGTTACGAGCTAACTATAGACCGATGATACAACATGCAAGAAGTACTGCGGGAAATCAGCTCGAGATATACCACTCCTCGGGACATTCGAAACCTTCGTGCGACTTAGAAACCGTCGTCGTGCGATCGACCTGCAACCGGTTTCTCGTTCCCTTTCATCGGTTCAGGCCGACACACGGCCGAGCTAGCCCGGGTTCTGCACACGTGTGCAACCGGCCGTGTGCACGGGCACACACGCACGTGAAATGCGTGCACGGCGATGTGTGCACGCATAGCTGCTCCCGCTTTCGTTTCCATTGACTCGCGCGCGCGGTATTTTGTCTAATCTCACATCCAAGTATCGAGGATGCTGCTGCGTCAGCTGTTGTCCGTTACTGTATATTTTTAGTTTGGTATCGTTATTAGTATTGTATATGTATTGTGTGCCCTATAATCGAAGCGCGTTACATAACCTGATGGTCACTTGGACACTTGGACACTTATCACAATCTAGAAAAATCCATTACGAAATTATTGAATTACAAATGTAACGTAATTTTAATGTAATATGTAAATTAGAAGTAAATTGATTATTGTTCAGATTTAGGAGAATGGAATTCTCTTTTTCTTATATAAGGCTGAAGAGGAGCCGAAATGTTATCCGTCTTTTATAAATAAGTCCAATCTATCAAATTGTTTAGAAGAGTTTACGTCAGATAATTATAATAAAGATACATTGTACGTGCAATATTAAAGATATATGTAGGAGGCTTAATGTTTTTATTTTAGTCGAGATTAAAGGCCCTGCGAACGGCCGTGGACTTACGTGTCTTCTAATCCAGCAGTCCTCGCATTTTTCCTTTTTGCCCGATCATTCTTTTTCGTTGAGGGAGAGAGGATAGAAAACGATCGGGTATCTCGCGGCATCTGCTAACTAAAAGGGTAAGATCTTCGCGTCGCCATGCTATCGAGAACCAAACCCGGGTATTTGCATTCGTCCCGCGCTCCTCGTTGACGTAGATGCCTCTAGCGTAAAACCGCATAATTAAGGACCCTTGCTACCGCACATGTCCGTCCGTCCATCCGTTTTCTTCCGTCCGTTTCCCGCTGCCAGTTACGTTGTCCCGGAAAGATTCGAGAGGGGGGAGCTCCGGGGTATCGCGGAAGAATCGAGGATTGTGCCGTCAGTCAACGTAGAGGACGGCGACGAGTCCTTATAGAGGGTCGCGCCAGGATCTATCCCTCGCGTGCAGATTCCGAGAGGAGTCCGATTCGCACACATCCGTGAGATTTTTAGACAAGCGGCAGAAGCCGCGACCTTAGAGCGTCTATTAAACATCCGCGTCGATGTCGAAGTCGTCGGATCCGCTGTCTCGATCGACCATGCGATCGTCCGCGTATCGCTTTTTATTGCTATTTATTTTGTTGGTAGAAATGTCCGGAGAATTCTAATATTCCTTATTCCGTATCTTTTTCTTGATATATTTTTTAATTATCGATAGCAATGAAATTTGATATATTGGCAAATTAAATGTTTCAAAGTGATATTAATATTTGTAATTTTTTTCAATTATGTTACTTAATACTCAATACTATATTTTAATCTTAATTTTATTCCCTAATAATCAAAGAGTTAAAGTTAATATAAGTAACTTGAATTATTTTTACATTTTTTTTTTTCCTGATATTTTACTATTTAGGAGAAAAGTAAACGATTGTTCTTCTTATGAAGAACTCCAATGCGAAAGTATCATTACATTCATCCCGTCTTATCTCTGGATTCTTTACATCGTTGTTTCGACGTATCGCTCTCACGGCAACTAGCGTTTTTGTACAGGCGACACGAGAGATCCTTCATCGCGAGACGTCCGGTGTGGTCCGACGAAGGAGCGCGAGAAACGAAACGGCGATCTGAAAAGAAGCGAGATCGGGGTGATATGGAGTTGGTCCACGCGCGGTGAGAGGACCACCCGGCGTTGTTTTTCCCGCGCGCGGCACGCAGCGCACGTGGAAGCGGTTTAACGTAATCCGGATTCGTATCGGTTTGAAGCGATTATACTTCCTCAGGCGCGAAAGCACGGACAAGGATCGTTGTTCGTACGCTCGTACGCCGGTAGCGGCGGCTTTTTCCCAAGAGCGCAGACGAGGATAAGCGCCGTTCCGCGCGCGTACCAGGTCAATGCGATCGTATCTATTAATCATGCTCGGTTTCTACCACCATTGGTATCGTCTCGCTCTGCGTCGGCGTAAGAACGCGCGCACATGGTCGAACTTCGTTCGTCTGATAAATGGCAATGAGCGCGCCACAGTGAGGCGAATGCATTGCACACGGTTGGTCCGTCGACTGACTAATAACTCCTCTTTAATCGCGAAACAGCCATGGGAAATTCGCCTAGTTTCAAATTCGCATTTTCGCCCGATTCATCAAATTCTACTTCCACCACCTGCATTGTCCGTCAAAAATCATTGATCAAATGGAAAGAATATGTAGTATATTT